AAAATATCTATTTAATAATTTTTTATCTTCCTCTGATAGATTCCATTCTTTTATAGATTTAGATGCTTTGGTATATATCTTTTCAAATTTCTTTGTATATTCATTTAATTCACACATATCTCAAATTTTTAATAATTCCATTTCTCTTTTAGCTTGTAAAGTTTCTTGAGTAATCATATCAATTTTAGTTTCTGGTGTATCTTCTCCTAATAATAGGTGTCTAAAAAAATTTTCAATTCGTTTTAACACTTCTTTAAAATTTTCAGCATCTAAACTTTCATTGCTATCTATGGTAGTTGTAGATTTTTCACCATATTTAATTTCTTCGGAAGTTATTCTCCAGATATCTGAAATAATTCCTCTAAAAGTGTGGATTATAAAGTTATACGCTTGAGTGGTATTTCATTTATGAAAAGCAACAGCTAAATCAGTAGCTTTTGCCTAAGAGTCAATAATTTCACTTTTATTATTGCTATCATCAATATCTAACCATATTCTTGTAGTAGGAATTTGTTCAGTAAATAATTTTACTGGATTATTATCTCTAAGATGTATATGTTTGGTTGATATAGTTTTTGGTTCCTTTCTAAAATTGTAGCCCTCTTGTTCTTTTATCCATTCAAAATTTCGGTCATCAAATTCAACTCGAGTCCAATCTGTATTAATATTAGTTCTACTAGTTTCTCCAATTAACGGCCGGTTTTCAACTTGTTGATTTAAAGTTGGAGTATTAATTTCAATAATTTCTTTTTTGGGTGGAGGATCATTCATATATATATTTTCAATTTGCATAGCTAATTGTTCTAAGCTTTGTTTATAAGCTTCTAATTCTTCTCGAGTAACTTCAAAGAATTTTGTTTCTAATTCTTCTATAACATATGCCGGTAAGGGTGGTTCAATAGAGACATAAGAATCTTTTTTATTTTTTAATTCTTTAAATTTTGATTCAATTTATTTATATAGGATTTTTGGTCCTATCTTAATATTGTTATTAACAATTTCTAAATTTGATTTCATATTTTTTATACTAGTTATGACATCTTGATTTATAATGTCTGGTTTTTTTAAAGGCTTAGCATAATTATCATATTGTTTTAAAAATTGATTTATAATAATATCTTCCTCTTCATATTTGAGAGATTCATCTACCAGGATTTGTAATACTTTATTTTTTGTTTCAACTAATTGTTGAGAATTATTAATTTGTTTTATTTCTTCACCTAGAGATTTATATTCAGTATTTAAATTTGTTGCTAATTCTTACAATTTAATACGATTAGTATTAGTTAATATACCAATATTTTGTAATTCTTCTAAAATCATTTGATCTTTTCTATTCATTTTAAATAATATATTCTTCAATTTCGTTACTAGGCTTTGATACCAATTTTTTACAAGGCGAAAAAATTAAAAATAATAATTTGAGAGCTTAATTGAACTCTTTTAAAATTAAGATGGCTTGGTTATAAATTTTATGTTCGGGGTATTTTAGATAGATTTTAACCTTTGAATGATCAGAAATCATTTTGGAAAAATGACCTTCTTAAATGGATCAATTCCATGTATTTCCTCGAGAGTAAAAGAAGTCTTCAAGTGCTCTCTTCTTCATTTTCACGTTGAAAAATTGATAATTAGACTTGTCTTGGATTATTTTTGCTTTAAGGGTATTTTGGACATATTATACTTTTTAAAATTAAAAATAAAAATTATTTTAATTCAAATATTTGGATCAAAGGCTATTTTCAAAAAATATTTCTTCTCAAACGATTCCCAATATAATAATTTATTAATTTTAGAGAAGTAAAGGGTTTAGGGTTTAAGTAACAGAGCACAAATCGGCTTCTTCCGCACACAACAATGGTGTCTGTAGGAAAGAAGAATCGATCCTTAAGCAGATCCAACCGAGCCAACGTCAGCACACTGTCCCGAGTCTCTGATTCTTCGATCGTGCGGAAAGGAAAGAGCACCGTCTGTGACGCGGCGTATGTGGCGAAGCGTCTGATGAAGAGCACCGGCAAGGCGGCGTGGATTGTCGCCACCTCGTTTATTGTTCTGGGCCTGCCGCTCATCATAGAGATGGACAGGGAGGCGCAGTTAAATGAACTCGAGCTCCAGCAGACGTCTCTTCTCGGCACCCCGGCTTCCCAACCTTCCCTCATGGGCCCCTCCTTCTAAGTGATTATAGTCTGTAATGGTTTTAATTTTATGATTTGGGAACTGGGTTTTGTGTTTTGGATTTTGAGAAAACTGGATGATATTTGATGGTATTATAATCTTCATTGCTAGTATCAAAATTTCTCCATACTTGGAGATTTTCTTGAATTTTGTTACAATCTTGTCCAATCCAAATTTCCTAATGATCTTGTTCAATTGCGCCTAATCGAAAATACGTAAAGACATTTTTTAGTTAGTTTGGAACTGGGTTTTTGAGAAAACAGGATATTATTTGTTGGGATTATAACGTTTATTTGTTAGCATTAATATTTTCAATGTTGTTATTCAATCTTGATTTTGTTACAATTGCGTCCAATACAAATTTCTTAATGATCTCTTTTAGTGATTTCGGAGCCGGGTTTTGTGAAAACTGGATTTTCTTTGTTGGGTTTACAATGATGACTGTTAGTATAAATATTTGTCAATATAGTGAGGAAGTATTTGGATTGAGTCCAATCCAAATTTTGTAATGATCATTTTTAGTTATTTTGAGAAAACTGGATGTTCTTTGCTGAGATTATTACTTTGATTGTTAGCATTAGTGTTGATGCTCTTTGATATATTCACCTAGTGTTCATGGAATTTGTTTGTGTGTGTGTAAAATTGACACTAACAATGCTATAGTGCAATCCGGATGCTGTTCGCTGTGACTATATCTCTGATTTTAATCTTTAATTAACAGATACGAAACGTGATTTTACTTCCAGTATGATGGCTTATTTTCTGAATGGTTTGAGCAATATTCGATACAATAGTTAATTGAAAATATATTCTGTTTTTGGCTATTGTGTAACATATGAGCTATCATCTGTTGTTCATTTCTATGGGAGTGCAGGATGAAGCAGATTCTTCAATAATCTATATTTCCATAAATTTTATTAAAAGTGCTTAATATTTATAACAATGCTTAAGGATATGATACTGCAGCTCTAGAGAATGCATGTGTTTCTGGTTTGACAATTTACTTTTCTCATTTTGGATTATTTTCCCAGTATAAACCCTTGAAAAATGCAATGGCCATTACCGCATGCTTAGTGAAAGAGATACAAAGTGGTCTTATTATCTTTTCGTCAAAAGACTTACAGAATTTCCTCTGTTTAGATGGAGGGTTGCGATACTTTTTCTTGTTTTGAATATATGATGTTTGGATGAAGTTCAGATGCCATTTTTTTAACTTATTCATGTAGAATATTAGAAACTCGAATTGTGAATTATATTTGGTTTTGGTGCATTTGGATTGACCAACTCTTGAGGGTCTCGCTGGTTTCAAATTTATGTTCAGCCTGCTGTCATTTTGGTTGGGTGGTCGAACTTCCTGTGTTTCATTGCGATAACTGAACTGATGGGATCACAAAGAGGAGGATGAAGGTAAGGGTCAAGTTCTTGGGTAGGGAGAGGAGTACCAAGGCAGCTGCTACTCCAGCGCAGCTACCATAGAATCAATTTAAAATTTAGCTATACATAAAAAATAAATGAGAGATTGATCCGTCTACGAATTGTTTTTAAGTATTAAAAACAACTTAACATGTAGAATCAACGAGTAATACTGGATGCACAATTGTGGATTAAGAATTTGAGTCGAACAAGTCTTTTAAAATTACTAAAACCTCCTAAATTGTTTAATATATCGGGCCTTATTGCCTGTTCTGTGTGGGTTGTTGAGTCAGGCAACAAATCACGACACGGTCTGTTTCATGAAGGTTTGGATTAGGCTTTCTAACCTTGTGTCAGGGTCAAGGGATAGTCTCAGATAAACTAGTTCTATGGGGCGTAGGCCTTTCAAAATGTAACGGAGCCGTGCAAAGATTTTCTCGAGAAAAAGAGGATTTCTCATTTCCTTCTCTCATTCAAAAGCGTGCATGAGACTTTCATCTCACAAAGCTCCTAAGTGATAAAAGAAATCTATGAATCGGAATCCTGATGTATATGGATATAAAAGGTACAATGGGAGCAAAAATTTCCAAGAACATGTATGGTTACAATTATCTGCGCTTCCAATGTGCCTATGATGTAACACCTGCGGACTAGTTTCAGTTAGGTTCTTTTAACTGGGTGGATCGTTCTCAACTTGGACCTTCGCCCATTTCGACACTACAGTATGTAATCTAGCAAATATCAAACCAAAGAACATATTGAATACAGAGAGTTTTTACGTAATTAGGTGAGAAGTATAGACATTTTCTTGAGCCCAAGTTCCTTTGGCATTATAAAAATGAAGTTTTATTGCAGACAAATCAACAGGGGAAATACACCTACGGATTAAGAAAACAATTCCAAAAATGTATTTAAACAAATATATGTAGTACACAAAAATAGGCAATCATGACTTAATACAATTCCTTTTGAGGTTGAAGAAATGATATCAACAACAACGTTTTCTTGTTCTATCCGCGTCTCAAGCATAATTAACAAGAAGCCAACTCATGTTGGTGCACTTTGAACTGAAACTGCTTTCAACGTTTCCCATTCACGTATGAACCAAGAGGATACTTTACCAGTTCAGTTTTCACAGAATCGTAAGCAACTAGAAAGAGATTCTTTGAACAGAACACACAAATCCATCCCATTTTGTCAGCAGAATCAGAAAATGTACATAGAAAACTCTAAATTGATGCTTGAACGAGTAACATTCCATTTCAAGGACTCAAGGAAGATGTCAATCAGTTTCAGCTCAGCCCAGCCATGATCGTTTCTGGCAATACATAAAAGAAATTTTAGTTATCGCTTCTTCTAACTAAATTACCAATAATCATCACAACTACAAGTACCATTCAAGAACCTATGGTATCTACGAACATCCCTTACAATTATTTCCCTCTCTACTACTCTGCTAATGTACTTGAATGCTTCATGACAATCCTTACAAATCCTCAAATTCTTTATAATCCTCAAAGCCTTTCCAGGAGGTGTAACCCCACTCAAAAGCCCAAAAGCAACAGCCAGTTTCTCACTGTGATATGAAAGCATCTTCCTCTTCTCGTTCTTCTCTAATTCATGAAACATTTCTTCCCAAATCGGCACATAGCCTAATTTCTCTATCTCCTCCATCAACTCTGCTAGCTTTGCATATATTTCGTTGTTCCTCACGTGCCTTCTATCTCCAGAAAAGAACACATGAACTGCTCCCTGCACTTCAATCCAACTCCTTCCAACTTCCTTTTTCACTTTCCTATCTTTCATTATTTTCCAAACTTCTTTAACCTCGTCCCAGCTCCCCGCACTTGCTAATACATTTGCCAAAATCACATAAGCTGAATCATCATTTGGATCAATTGCCTGCAATCTCTCGCTCATTCTCCAAGCTATGCTGGCATTTTCATGGTTCATACAACTTGACAATAACACGCGCCATATGGCTGCATCAGGCTCATAGGGAATTGTCAAAGCAATTTTCTCTGCCGCCTCTAACCTTCCAGCTCTCCCTAATGCACCTGCCAAACAAGTGTAGTGCTCAATCCGAGGCTTCAATTTATACTCCATTTCCATCTTATTAAACCACCTCTCAGTCTCTATGGTCATACCAGCATTGTAAAATGCTGTCAAAATTGCCAAAAAACTATACTCATCGGGCTTCATTCCTCGACTCTCCATCAAGCTCAAAAGCTCAATCACATATTCTTTATCCCCATGTTGCGCATACCCTGCCATCATTGCATTAAATCCAACTAGATTCAATTCCATTCCCAACTCATTAAACACTTTTCTTGCGTCCTCCAAGACCCCACATTTTCCATACCCATCAATCAACGCAGTCCCTACGATCACATCCAAATCCAACCCGGTCACCATTGCGTGTCCATGAATAATCCGACATTGCTCGAACATGGTCATCCCAGACCCAGCGCACAAAGCCCCAGAAACGCTGTACGGATTTGACAATATATCTTCCCTCCTCATCTCAGTAAAGTATCTCAAAGCATCAATAGGCCTCTTATTCTGAGCCAACCCATTGATCATCGCGGCAAAACAAACCCCATCTCTCTCACACATTTCATCAAACGCCTTCTCTGCTGAATTCATATCCCCAGTCTTGCAATAAAGTGACACTAAACCCGAACTGGTAAAGGGATTTTCTTGCAACGAGAACTTGACTACAATTGCATGTAATTGAAACCCAAAAATATAATCTGGTAATAAAGAACAGGTTCTGAATAATGTTGCTAAAGTGCGAGCATTGGGGAACGAACGGGTGGGGTGGCGGAGCATGGAGAGAAAGAGGTGGAAGGCGGTGGAAGAATGGGAGAAGGCAGAGATTACCGAAGCCCATGTGACAGTATTTGGACAAGGGATGGAGTGGAAGAGTTGGAGTGCCGAAGAGTGAAGATTGGACTTAGAGTAAAGGGTGATAAGGTTGTTGAAGAAAGAGATGTTTTGGGGAGTGGGGCTTCTGCATGTTTTAATGGCTTTTGCATGTGCACAGCGAGGGTCAATATTCGTTTCGAGTGAATTCATCCCAGTTCCATAAAATTAAGGTTTATGTGCTTGAAGCTTTCATTTATCATTCAAGTAGGGGGTGTCAACCCACTCCATCCACCATATAGGTGGCTTTTATATCTTTATCCCGATTTATAAACTTGATGTATATTTGTAAATTAAGTTGAAAATTAAGCTCCTTGTATAGATGAAATATACTGAGATTTTAAAAATAGTGAGATGGTAACTAGGGATGGACACAAGGGCTGGCATGGAGTCACGTGACCTCCCAACTTTAGGGCAAATTCATTTTTTTCCCTTTGACCATCATTAAATCTTCTATGTTTTTGTTTCAATTTTTGAAGTCATATGGGATGTCAAATAAAGTCGAAATATTGTATTTTTAATACCATTTCGAAGTGTTCACGACTTAATTTTCTATATCGTTAATGGTACGCAAAACAGTCAATCGTAACAAATGTTACGGCTTGTCAAAATAAGCTGTTCTAAATTAGCATTTCGAAAATTTTGATAACATGCTAATTTTAAAAATTCTTCCACAATCGTATGCTATCCAAATCCCCTATGTCATCTCGAAACTCGTTTTGAGAACTACATTATGGATATATCGAAAATAATTAAAGCTGTGTCAAACGTGCATTTTAAAAAAAAGAAGAGACTATCTCATCATTTCTTTAATTTTTTTCAATTATTTCATTAACATTTATTATTATTGCGCAACAAATTTCTCAACATAATGTAATTTATTTTATTATAAAATTTTACACAATGTATAACATCAAAAACTTTCAAAATTTTACATTCGAAAAAGTTATACCCTATGTAAAATTTGGACGTAAATTTATATTGAGTATGTAAATTTTCGAATGTAAAATTCTTGCAACTTTTATGGAAGTTTAATTTTGTCCTCACAACTCAAAATGTCTACTTCTGCCACTAATGACAACACTGAATTAGTTGGTTTAAATTTATTTTTTGTCCAACATCTAATAAAATTGTACTAATTGACAATCTATCAAACTCTCTGACAAAATCCATGTACATGTAGCACGATTGTTGAGTTAATTGCTAATTAATTTAGTGTAAGCCCTTGAATGACACAAATTCATTAAAATTTATTTTTCTATAAACTAATTCTTAACAACATATTCTTTTAATAAAATATTTACACGTGGGCTCCTAATTATTTCCTACTTTTGAACCGTACATACTCAAAAAATCCATTTCTCACAAAATATATCCTCAATAAATCTACATCAAACATGTCCTAAATGTTGTCATCGTAGATTAATTCAAACTTTGAGATACTCAGAGCAAAAATGAAGATTTTGAGCTTAATTGAATGAAGGAATTGAAGACTGACCTGATGGCATAGAATTCATGTGAAGCATATGAGAACAATAGAAGGAAATTCACAAATTTCAGGGGTGAAATTCAACTTATAGGAGTTGATATGCATACTTTTAGAACTTAATTGATTGATGCAAATGAAGACTTAGAATTGGTGTGAAGCATTAATGGAGTTGTTGGGGGAATTCCCAATTTATTTATTTATTTTTTTTTTTTTGGGGGGGGGGGGGGCTGCATGCACACTTTTAGAACTTGGGGAAGACCATTCTTGGATAACTATGAGCACTCTTTCTCAATTTCCATTACTAGCTAAAAAAAGGTAAATAAATAGAAAGAAGTTCAAGATAATAAAAATTAAGAAAAAGGAAGATTGACACTATATACTGAAAAAGATTAAGAAGCTATGCGCTTTAAATGTGCTAAAATAATATCATGGTTCTGTCACTTTAATTTTGAGAATCTTCATAATACGATATGGTCGTACAATCTCTCTATAAGGAATAAAGATATTAAAAAACTATATAACTGAAAGATATTTTTCAATTATAAAGTGAAAAAGAGAGTTTTGCTTCCTTTTCCATCCAAGTTGCTTTTCTCTTTTTCACTTCTTTTTTCCATGCAGTTTGGTTTATTTTTTGCTCACTTTCACGTTTCCTTGATTTGTTTTTAGATCACTTACATGTTTGCTTATAGCACCACTTTTTGTTAATAATGAATTAAGAAGTGTTAGTTTGAAAAGGAAACAATAATGTGAAACTCCCTGTACTTGTAGAAGTGCATTTCAGATATGTTCGGTTGGAATCTACTCACGGCAACCCAGTTGAATTAAGAGAAGTTGTTGGTATTATTACAGGGCAATCAATTGAAGTATCGAGTGCTCAATTAAATTCATGGGTACTAAAGAACATGTGCATGCCCTACATAAGGAAAACTAAAATTCAATGGAAAACTCTGAATTATACTTCCAATTGCCTTGATCTTCATAATGGTTTCAAGGTCTAGAGTGTCTGCTAATGTCCAAACAAGATTATAATACTGAAAAAATGTTGGAAAACTTGATCCTAACGAGGGAATAGAGAAAGAAGCCAAAGAAAAGAGCAATGCTGAAAATTGACTTGAACTCGTAATTGCTATCCTGAGATTAAATTTTTCCCCCCTAGGATTGTTTTTAACGCTTAAAAGAACTCACGGCAACTGGTTTGTAGAATTAATAAGCATTAGAAGAAGAAAGATACTAAGCAATTGTGTTTTTTCCTTAAAACTTGAGAAAAAATGAAAAGGATGAATATGTAAAGAAACATTTATAAAACTCTCTATAAATGGAATGATTTCAATTGTTAGTGATGTAATTGTGTAGAGGAATGAAATCTATCTTATACATATAGATTCTCAATCATACAACACGAAAAGGCTTCAAAGATTCATTAAAAGATATATATATATATATATTTTTAATGAAAATGTGCCAGATAACGAACCAGAAATTTCAAACCAAACGGTCCAAAAATTGGCCTAAGTGATCGCCTAATACATAATCGGACAATTGCCCACGAAATGGTTTTGGCCTTGAGTTATTGAAAGTGACGTTGGGCACTCGTCCAAACAAAATTGAACGCCTCCATTTTCTCTTCTTGTTTTGTTTTCAATATTTTCGTACTTTCTCTAGGCACACATACGGATTAGATACCTTTCGATTTAAATCTAACTATAGTATAATTTTCACGAAGCATCATTGAAATTAAAGATAACACGATAGCTTTGAACTAGTTATTCCTTGTGATGATGCCGGTGAAAATATACCCACAAATGTCGAGTGTTCACAATAGGGCTGCACAAAAAAATCACGACACCGCAAATCAAACCAAAACCATTGAGTTGAAACCGTTGGTTTGGGTCCACGTGGACCCATGGTTTTTTCCCTCAAACCGAACCAAACCGTTTCAAAATGGTTTGGTTTAAGTTTTGATTTTCAAAAACTGCACAAAACTGAACCGAATCATTTTAAAATTTTTTAAAAACATTAATTTTATTAACTTAAAAATTTTGCAGTTTTCACTTTAAAGAAAAAAAATACAAGTTTAGTAATACAAACTACTACCAACCTATTAAAATAATCATAGAAAGTAAATTAGATTCATCATTATTGGTATATGGTTTAACAAGTTCACAACACATGTTCTCACCTAATATCTAAACTAAACTTAAATTATTCCAAAATCATATGAAATGGAAAAAAAAAAAAAAAACATGTATTTTCAACAATCAAAATCATAATTCAACAAAACTATGTCAGCAAATCATGTTAAAAGTTTCAAAAGTCCTAACATAAACTTTCATTTCCCAACATTTAATACTTGCTTGCCATTACTGAACGAATCACCAGTCACCTTTAAATATTAGTATGCTAATTTCTGCCCGAATCACTCCTTTCTCTCTTTTATTTCGATAAGTCTCAAATTTTCATTCAAACTATTTTTTCCCTGTTCTTTCTTCTATTTGTTGTTTTTAAACTTATTATATACTTGTGAATTGTGGTTTGATAGAAAAATAACTCTTTTTGTGACTAGATGATTAATGAACTTCTTTGTGGTTTGAAAAGAACAAGGGATAGATCATATTGATTATATGAAAATTTTAAAGTTCCCTAACTAGTACTACTATATTGTTCTTTCATAAAGTAGTTAAAGAATAAAATTCGTCAATTTCCAATAAGTCGAAATTTTATCGATCTTTGTACATCTAAACATATTCCGTTCAATCCTTATTAAACATCTCACTAGTAAGACGAAATAAATTTTAATCAAACTATATTAGTAGAATGTAATTCTACCTATACCAACTGCTATATGACAATATGAATGTCAAACAAAAAAAAGAAGTAAATAAAAATGAAGAAAGATGTATTTGTTCATTAACATCTTTTAGCAATAAATTTTGAAAATAATTTATTCATCGATTTCCTGGTAAATATGAATATAATTTAACATTTAACATTATTAGTTCTCGTTTAAACTTGTATGTTAACTTATATTAAATATATTACTATAACGTCGATAGGCGATAGGTAAACCACGGATTAAAACCGAACCAAACCGCAAATTATGATTTGGATTGGTTTGGTTAGAAAAATAAAATGGTTTGATTTGGTTTGAAAAAATTTTAAACCGCATAAAATGGTTTGAGTTTAAAATACAGTACAAATCGTCCAAATCGAACAACATTCGCCCCTAGTTCAC